TGCTTGGTGAGAGGGTCGGCGGACGTGGGCTCGCACTTGTCACTGCCCAGGTTGAGCTCTGATTGCAATTCAGACTACCACCAACGCTGCTGCTTCTGAAACCAACTGACCAGCACTGACACGGATGATCGTCCTGATCTGTGACCCTGTCGAACTGAAAGTTGGAGATCTGGGTCGACTTCGCGGCTTCAGTGTTGGCGACGACCAAAGCATCTCACAGAGCCTTGACCTGATCGACCATCTGACGAAATAGTGCATCTTGGGCACCCATGCGGTCTGCGCTCTCACGACGCTGAACATCGATCTCGTCGAAGCGGGCGACCAGTTCACGTTGGAACCCAATCCACCGTTGGAGCCGCCGCAGCGGTGATGTGCTCGTCGAGCTTGGTGCCAGTAGACGCGAAGTCAGACTGGCACTTCTTGAGGTAAGCATTGGAAGTTCTGAATGAAAGCAGCCGTGATCGAGGCCACCTCATATTTGACCTTGGACGACTATCGCAGCCACCACCGAGCCGAACTGCTTCTGCAACGCAGCGAGCTCGCCTTCGAGCAAGGAGGAGCAGATGGTACGGCTGTGCTCGAGAGACATGTCGTCATCCGAATCGGACACGTCGTGATAGTCAAGGCCTCCCGAGGCGGCAGCAGCGTCAAGAGCCAGCACGAAACACACCATTCGAACGAGGACGTGAACGTGAAACTGTCTCTCCTGTCGCGCTCAGCTTGATGACCTTACCACCATTTCCCGTGGACGTCCCACCGCAGACACAATGACGCGAAACGGACGGGGATCGGGATAATGCGGGGGGCCCATTCCCACAGTAGCGGCCGACAAAAAAACACCAAGCTGAACAGCCTTGCCTGCCGCGGACTAGCGGTATCCGTGCTCTGCCACGGGCCAGCGGACATGTTGAGCCAACATGGCGACGGAAACGAGGAGAAGGAAGAGGAGAAGGAAAAGGAACAGGAGGAGGAGAAAGAGGAGGAGGAGGAAGAAGAAGAAGAGGAGGAAAGAGAGGAGAAAGAGGAGCAGGAGGAGGAGGAGGGAGAAGAAGGACGAGGATGAGGAGGGAGGCGAAGAGGAGGAGGAGGAAGGAGGGAGGAGGAGGAGGAGGATCAAACTTCGAGGGTCGAGCTTCGAACTCTGAGGGCCGAGATGTTCGGGTTGTTCTTGTTACCTTGTTAGACGTCTCGGGGGGGGGGGGAGGGGCTGGCGTCGCCGCGGCTGGGTTTCCCTCGTCCGAGCGAACTGCTGGATGGGCCCAAAAAACTGATCTTAGAGGGGAGGGCATGCTAAATGGAAAGACGAGGGTCGTGGAAACGTAAGATGACGTAAGATACAGTGGAGACCCGTCCACAAGAAATCCAACGCTGAGACCCCAGGGCATCCACCGATGTTTGGTGTGGGAACGTCACGCTTCCCATAGCAAAGCCATCGAAACCCAAGAAACCTAGGGCACCCTGGAGGCAAGCAGAGTGTTTCTTGTCATGGGTCTTCACTGTATATTTGAAGGGAAGGCATGCTAAACGGAGGGACGAGGGTCGTGGAGGCGTAAGATGACAAACTATACTCTAGATTGGGGGACTCGGACTTGGCTGGCGGGACCGTCAACAATTACGCTACCGAGGAACCCCACATACTTATTTTATGCCATTCGTATTCGCATGCCATGTCACGTCGTGTTTCGACGTCCCCCGCGCTCCCTCGCACTAGCTGACAACCGCATCCATGCTAGGGGGAGGGGGAGAGAAGGAGGGCCACAAGAAAGGAGTTGGGAGAAACGAAGAAGGGAAGGAGAAAGAGAGAGAGAGAGAGAAGACGCGGCAACCGCGCGGCCAATCCTCGGGATACGGAGGGGGAACAACATGGAGGCGGGAAGGAGGGGGAAAAGCAGGGAGGGGGACAGGAGGGGAAAATCACGGAGAGGAGGATCTATACCCGGGGGGGGCAAGGCAAAGTAGCATCCAGGACCACGGTGGAAATCAACCTTGAACGCCAGCGGCGGGGTCGCCGCCGCGCCAACGCAGCACGAACCTACCGTAAGACGATGGTGGCCAAATCGGCTCAAAATCAGTCCATGGACCCCTCCCGGGATCCAGACCCACTGGTGTTTCACGCTGCGTCCAGCCACGCGACGAGGAGCTGCCCTGGAAACCAAAATGGCAAAAAAAAACTACCCGTGTCTCACCCCGCCCTCCACACAGAGAAGCACTCTTCTCCTCATCTCCCTCCTCCTCACTCCTCCTCCTATTCCTCCTCCTCCTCCACCTGCTGCTCCGCCTCCTCCTCCTCCTCCTCCTCCTCCTCCTCCTCCTCCTCCTCCTCCTCTCTCCTCCTCCTCCTCCTCCCTCCGCCTCTCACCTCCTCCTCCTCCTCCTCCTCCTCCTCCTCCTCTTCCTCCTCATCCTCCTCCTCCTCCTCCCACTCCCTCCTCACTCCTCCTCCTCCTCCTCCTTCTCCTCCTTCTGCTCATCCTCCTCTTTCCTCCTCCTCCTCCTGCGCACCCCCTATGGTGTCGAGAAAGTGCCACACCTGCTATGCCTGGACGACTGGCACGGATAGCGGCCGCGCTCAGGGACCACCCCCTGCGCACCCCCTGTGGTGTCTAGAAAGTGCCACGCCTGCTATGCCTGGACGACTGGCACGGATAGCGGCCGCGCTCAGGGACCACCCCCTGCGCACCCCCTATGGTGTCGAGAAAGTGCCACGCCTGCTATGCCTGGACGACTGGCACGGATAGCGGCCGCGCTCAGGGACCACCCCCTGCGCACCCCCTATGGTGTAAACGACACAGCGCTCCTGCCGACTGGCACGGATAGCGGCCGCGCTCAGGGACCACCCCCTGCGCACCCCCTATGGTGTCGAGAAAGTGCCACGCCTGCTATGCCTGGACGACTGGCACGGATAGCGGCCGCGCTCAGGGACCACCCCCTGCGCACCCCCTATGGTGTCGAGAAAGTGCCACGCCTGCTATGCCTGGACGACTGGCACGGATAGCGGCCGCGCTCAGGGACCACCCCCTGCGCACCCCCTATGGTGTCGAGAAAGTGCCACGCCTGCTATGCCTGGACGACTGGCACGGATAGCGGCCGCGCTCAGGGACCACCCCCTGCGCACCCCCTATGGTGTCGAGAAAGTGCCACGCCTGCTATGCCTGGACGACTGGCACGGATAGGGGCCGCGCTCAGGGACCACCCCCTGCGCACCCCCTATGGTGTCGAGAAAGTGCCACGCCTGCTATGCCTGGACGACTGGCACGGATAGCGGCCGCGCTCAGGGACCACCCCCTGCGCACCCCCTATGGTGTCGAGAAAGTGCCACGCCTGCTATGCCTGGACGACTGGCACGGATAGCGGCCGCGCTCAGGGACCACCCCCTGCGCACCCCCTATGGTGTCGAGAAAGTGCCACGCCTGCTATGCCTGGACGACTGGCACGGATAGCGGCCGCGCTCAGGGACCATCCCCTGCGCACCCCCTATGGTGTCGAGGAAATGCCACGGCTGGCGCCATGGCCCGCATAGACGCCGCGTTGTGTGCGTTGTGTGTGTGTGTGTGTGTGCGCTTGTGTTGTGGTGTGCTGTGCTGTGCTGAGCTGTGTGCTGTGCTGAGCTGTGTGCTGTGCTGAGCTGTGTGCTGTGCTGAGCTGTGCTGTGCTGTGTGCTGAGCTGTGCTGAGCTGAGCTGTGCTGTGCTCTGCTGTGTGAGAAGGGTGGGGTGGGATGAGGTGGGTGAGGTGGGCCGCGGGTGCGACACGGCAGGGAAGAACACCAGAACCCCACTAAGCATGTGGGGAAAAATGATGAGACCTCGTCTGAAGTTTGGCGCGAGCTCTCGCTGCCAATGGCGGTGGTAAACCCGAATTCCAACAAACTCAAACCTTCTTACGTTCCCCCGAGAGGAGGGAGGAGGGTCGGGTCGGACGAACATCGGGTGTTGCCAAAGGTGTCACAGTGCCCCAAGGATTTCCAGGGAGGCCCCCACGGTCTCTAGAGCACCCCTCACGAGGTCCGTAGGAGCCCAGGGGTTCCAACACGGCGCGACATCTGGGGGGATAGAAATTGGTGGATTTCAGGAGCGACGAAGAAACAACCACAACTGCTGGGATGAAGGAACCGCCCCGCATCCCAACGGTTGTGGTTGTCTCTTCTTCGCCCATGCGGATCGGCAAATCAGCTCGCGGAGCCGGGTTTCCTGTCGGTGCTGGGGGGCGCCAAATATATCAAGGAAACGGCGGGGCTCAAGCTGGCTGCGTGCAGCAATTTTCAATACATACCACCCCGCTTCCCGATCCCCCGATGCTGACGATGAACTCATCAACATCACCACCACCATGAACATATCAAATCGTATCATTTCATATTATGTGTTATCATATCATACAATACCATCATCAACATCATCATCATCATCAGCATCATCATCAGTATCATCACCATGATCATCATATCATCATCGTTACCACCACCACCACCACCACCACCATCGTCATCAGCATCATCATCGCCATCGCCATCCCCATCACCATCATCATCATCACCACCATAATCATCAGCATCAGCATCATCATCGTCATCGCCATCAGCTTTATCATCATCACCACCATCCTCATCATCACCACCATCACCACCACCACCATAAACCATCACGATCACGATCACTGTCACCATCACCGTCACCATCATTATCACCATCATCTGCATGATCGACATCTTCTTCATGTTCATCTTCATCACCATCTTCATTTTCATCACCGTCACCGTCGCCGTTATCGTTAATGCCGCCATCACCATCGCGATCATCACCATGACAATCACCATCACCGTCACCATCACCATCATCATCACCATCACCATCACCATCACCACCACCATCATCATAACCACCACCATCAGCATCAGCGTAAACAACCTTAGCATCATCACTCTCATCTATCAGGGGGACGTAAGACCTGGGTGCAGGGGACTCGGAAATCCCCGACGAGGTCGTCAAAAAAATGACGAGGCCGAGCCTGCATTTTGACGAGGCCTCCCGCTGCAGACATCCCACGAAACTCCTCCTCGTCAAAATCCGAGGCGCGGTCGTCAAAAAACGATGGCGAACCCGAGTCCTGGCAAACCCGGGTCTTACGCTCCCCCGAATCTAGCCTCCCGCCTCCCCCTGTGAAAGTCAGAGCGACAGTAAGGAGGGAAGCGGCGGAGGAGGCGGGAAGCTTGGCGGCGGGGGCCGCCTCTGTGGCCCAGACGGGCGGTAGGCGGCCCCTGACCACACACGGCTGCCGGAGACGGCAGAGGCCAGGGCTGCACTCCACAGCGTCTCCGGGCGGGTCAGGTGCGCCCGACCGGCTGGCACGCCTGACGCGTGGCAGGCGGAGAGCTCTTTGAAATAAGCTGCTTCGCCGTCGGGGGCGCCTGTCCCAGGGCGGCCGGAAAGCTTATACCCCTGCGGTGGCACGTCGGGGTATACTCTCCAGCCACCCTGGGACAGGCGCCCCCGGCGAAGGAAAAGTTCATGCTATACCGCTCGTCGCCCGCTAAACCATGGGCATGACGGGTTCGTGTCGTGACGACACGGCGTTGGCTTCTGACGCCGCGACGACACGGCGTTGGCTTCTGGCTTCTGGCTTCAGGCGGGTTTTCATTCGCCAGGTTGTCCCGACCAGTTGGCGCGCCCAACATTTAGCGGGCGGAAAACTGTCTAAGATCAACTTTTTCGCCGTCGGGGGCCGCCTGTCCCAAGGCGACTGGCAAGTTCATACCCCTACGGTGGCACGTCATGGTAGAAACCTTCCGCGAGGATCGTTCCACCCGGGGCAGAGCAATCGGCGGGGCGGGTCTTCGATCGCCAGGCCGTCCCGTGCAGGCCGACTCCTGGCCACCGGCGGTGCTCAACCTGGCACGCCCGCGCTGGGGTCGCCGCCACGTCGGCACGAGACGAACCTGCCGTGCGGGAACACTGGCACGAGGCCAAACAGCGACACCTGTCCAACGCCCACGGTGGCTGCTGCTGGGCGGGCGACCGTCCGTCTAGGCTTAGGTCGGGCATGTCCCGCCTACAGGCGTATTTTGGGTGAAAAATTAAAAATAGAAATATCCGCAAATAGTCGAAAATAAGCATAAAATATACGTCCCCAGATTATTTTTTGCTATTTTTGACTGCTCCTCCTATAAAGGGACACGCCCGACGTAAGTCTAGGCTTGACAGCGTCCGCGGCGACAACGATAGCGAGTCCTGGTCACAATAAGCACGAACTGCTGTCCATCATCGTCACCATCCTTTCCGTGACCATTTCAAGAGGAACGAGAACCGGCATAAACTGAAGTTTTTGAAGGTACGCGCGGCTTTCTGAGAGCCTCGCTGGACCTCCTCCATGGCGTGCCGAGCGCGCTGGGGACGGCGCCAGGGGCGGCGCAACAGGCGCCGTCAGGAGGGTCCAGCGCAGATCCAAGGAGCTCCGACTGTTCATTAATGCAGTTTTTCCTTGCCGACTTTCGATCGCACCGAACCGAGCATGCTACTCCCAGGACCTCTCCTGTGGCGCATTCCGACCAACACGTCGAGGCGCATCCGCCATGGGCGCCGAGGAAAGGGAAACGATGTCGGTATGCTCTCCCCTACATAATCTTAGTATACATATAGACCTATTATATATACATATGTATATATATACAAACATACAGTCGTTCCCACGCATTATAAATACTCACGGTGTGTGTGTATATATATATATACACATACATACATACATATATATATATATATATATATATATACATATACACATTTAGAATACCCCAGGACGTCCATCCATTCTGGGTGTGGGAAGGTCGGGCCTTCCACGGCAAAGCCGAAGAAACCCAGGGCACCCTGGAGGCAAGCAGGGTGTTTCTTGACATGGGCCCCCACCGTACCCTTTTCCAGCGCAAGGAACCGATCGCGCTGACGTTCGGTCGGACATGTCCTCCTACGGGCGGATTTTGGGCGAAAGATAAAACATAGCCCCAAAATGCTCAAACAATCATCAAAAATGATCGAAAGAATCGTCCCCTGACGATTTTTGGTTATTTTGAATATTCCTTCTGTAGAAAGAAAAAAGGCCCGACCTCACGCTGACGCACCGTCGTGATTGGGTGGAACCCCGGCCCCCGTGGGGGCCCGTGCGGCCGCCGGCCAGCCCCTGGCCCTTCCCACGTGCTCGAGGCCAGGGCCGGCGCGGATCGACATGCAGTCGTTGTGCTGCCACGAGGCCTCCTCCTCCTCCTCGCTCCTCCTCCTCGCTCCTCGCTCCTCCTCCTCCTCCTCCTCCTCCTCCTCCTCCTCCTCCTCTTCCTCGCTCCTCGTTCCTCGCTCCTCGCTCCTCTCCTCCTCCTCCTCCTCCTCCTCCTCCTCCTCCTCCTCCTCCTGCTCCTCCTCCTCCTCCTCCTCCTCCTCCTCCTCCTCCTCCTCCTCCTCCTCCCCCTCCTCCTATTTCTATTTCCCCGTGCGACAAATGTCGATGACAAAAAGCAGCAGCAGAAAACAGGTGTCCTCCGAAGAAAACACAGCACTCTCGAAATCAACGCCGAGCGACAGATTACGAGGCGAGGCAACGTGTATCAGTGGATATACGGTTGATATACACACACGCACACAAATTACACACATGCAAGGGGGCGCCGCGCTTGGCGCTCCTCCTCGTCTCTCCAGGGAGGCAGCTGCGGCCTCCGCCATCTCTGGCGTGAGCCCGAAACGGGCGGCCGCTTCGGCCGCGCTCCACCGTTCCCACCCCACCCCGCCCGACGACTCCGACGGCGACGACCCCCCCCACTCCGGCCCAAGACGGGAGGAGGAAGGCACCAGAGGAGAGGCCGAGGACCTGGAGGTCGAAGGGGGAAGCGGGACGGGGCCTTCTGAGGGTCCACCCCCTGTACTGAGGGGACCACGAGGGGAACGACCCCCGTCTGGCCCGAGACAGCTGCTGCTTTCTGTCCTTGGTGGGCGGACGGCGGGGGCACAGCGCTCCCAAGGCCTTGAGACCACCCCAACTGTATCCTCCGCGCGCGGTGCAAAAAAGGAATGAGCTGCCGCCTACGAGTGGGCGGCCATCAGGCCCATCCACACCAGCTCTGGAAATGGTATGGCCCGCAAGTGACACAAGTCTGGTGAGCTCCTCGGGTTCCCCAGGGACAACGAACGGGCGGGCGCCCCCAGTGACTCTCAGCGAACGCAGTCTGCACTGAGGGGCCAGCACGGTCCGATCCTTCCCAGGGAGCTCGTCCGCATCGCGGACCTGACTGGCAGCTACGCGGGCCTCTTGTTCTCCAGCCCAGCGCCCAGCCTGCCGAGCAATGGAACAGAGAGCACGCGCAAGACGGGACGCAGGCTGGGTGTCTGGGTGACATGCTGCTCCTAGCTTTGCCAGCCTATCAACATGGTCAGACCCTCGTTTGTGGAGCTGGGTGGTCCTTCCAGCTGGCACGTCTGTCCAGGAAGCATGGGCCTTCACCTTGACCGCGGGAGGGGGTTCATCATCAAACACATGGAAAATGCGGGCCCACAAGTGAGCTCGACTGCTGGAACAAGACTGTGCCTGGCCAGGGTCTCGCAAACAGCCGAGGGTGGCCTTGCAATCTATGTGATACGTCGTTCCGAAGGCCTGAACGCACCCCCCAGCCGAGGCCATGTAAACAGCGCAGTCCTCTCCGTCGCGGGCTGTTTGGAGAGGGGCTAGCTCAAGCGAGACTGCGCCGTAGCAGCCAGCTAAAAAGTTGCCAGCCTCGCCAACCTGGACAATCCCCCACCCCGCTCTGGCCAGGTTCAGGTCTGTCGGGTTGAAGGCTGACCCATCAGTGAAAACCAAGCCCGAAAACCGGCCTTCGGGAGGCCCGTTGATCCAGTGAATACCTGCTTGGGAATGGAGGAGGAGGAGGGGGCGGGGCAAGCTCGGGGGCGAGGGGAGAGACTCCAGCGGCAAACTTCTCTAAATATTGCCCCCATCTCTCAGCATTAGCTGCCGCCCTCAACAGCTCGGCACTGCAACTTGACTGTCGTAGGGCCCTCCAGGCGTCACATTTATACCTTCTGTGAAATAACGTCCCAGGAGCGGCCATGCACAACCGACGCGACGGCGACGACGCACGCGACTACCTAAACTGGCGCTCATGGGTCCAATGACATTGGGAGACCACGCTGCGAAGGGCCTCTTGCTGGTGGGGGCCCCAAGCAGTCGACGTGGCTCCATGCATTAAATCACGCAGGGGGTGCCACAAGATGGGTCGGGCCCAATTCGCCGCTGCAGACCTCCCCCTCAGCGCGCGCACATCCGAGCAGGCGGCGACGCGCCGCAGCACAGGGGTGCCGACCTGCACGGGCGCAAGGGCGAGCAAGTCCAGCTCTCGCCCATCGTCCAAGCCGATAGTGCGCGCATTGAGGGCGTGCCACCCTAATTCACGAAGCGACATGCTATAAACATGAGCTGGGGACCTAACGCATCTCCACGTAAACCTGCGCTCTTCAAGCTCGGCAAAGGCCCCGCCAAGGGCCTGCTGGAGGTTGGCCAAGGTCGGCCGCCCCCTCCAAATCGCCTGGGCCCAAAAGAGGATGACTTGGCGGTGGTACGCGGCCAGGGAGTCGATGAGTTGGCCCGCAGCCGAGGAAAACAACCTACGCCCCACAGAGGCCGTCGACGTGTCCTTGTGGAGCGACCGAACCGCTGAAACACGAATCGCACGGGTCTGCCTACTGGTGAGCCCCGTGACCGCCGCGCCCCACAGCGCACAAGCTTGTGGACCTGCTCGTTGTATGTTGTGCACGCGCCCCCCAGCTTGACGAAGTGTCCTGGGTCGCCAGCTCCTCTTGGCCCCTTTTCCTGAGTCAGTTTTCCACTGTTTTGTTTCCCCTGGCCCTGGAACGTGTAACACCTGATACCAGACTCTTGGTGCCAATCTTGCGATTGAGCCCTTGCTGGGCCCACGCCTTGGCTAGGCCCGAAGCCAGATCTGGATGGGAGGCCAGGAAGTGGGATTTGCCCCCTGACAAGATGAGCTCCAAACGGGCGTAACCTCTCGACAGCTCTTTGCCTACTTCACCCAGTTCCTTCAAGATCAAGGCGATGGTCCCGCAGTATTGGGAGTGGACATCATCCACCACGTTGCGGCAATGTACATGGGGATGGCGCTGATGTGTCCCTAGCAGGAACCTGTGTATATATACATATATACACACATATACATATATATATATATATATAAGTTGGCAAAGTTGGTGGCGAGTGTGCAGCCCGCCAGGATCGTGCCGTTCGCTTTGAAGAGGTCGCTGACCGCTGTCTGAAAACTTATGACGCGTGGGCCTGCGTAGTGCTTGCACGCTGCATACACTAGCCGAAGGGGCATCTGGGTGGCCACTGCCTCACGAATGAGAACTCTATGGGTCACCATTTCGTAGAACTTAGATAGGTCCGTGAATCGCGTGGCAGCCTCCAGGTTGGACGGCCTCGGAACGTAGGTCACGATGTTGTGCTCCCATCCTGCTTGTTTACAGGTCTTGCCCTTGGTGCCCCAGAAGCTCTCCAGAGAGCGCCCCCTTTCCCAAGTGCCTTCCAG